AGTTTCTTCTATTTAAAAATGTTTCTATTCTATTAAAAAATGAGTAAAAATTTCCTAAATATGCAAATATTATAATAAAAATAATTAAAATAACAGAGATCACCGGTATGATCTCTGAGTGGAATAGCTGATAAGAACAACATTTTCCCAAATTCAAGCAATAAAAATTGAATGATGAAAGCGACAGTCATAGATAGACATAAAAATTGTGGGATGTTTTTATTGAGGGAAATATAATTCGTCGTAAACTAAGTAAATATAAAATATCCCTTTTGTGAAACTCAGGTATAAAATTGTATTTTTTAGAATGGTTTTCGGTTTCTCACTTTCATCTACATTTCTACGCTGTCTAACAAACATTTTAGGAATGATGAAATAAAGACGTTACAAAAAACATATGGAAAATATTGCTGGACTGAACAAAGATTCTGATACAAATGCAATGAGAAATCTAATAGAGATATCTTTTCGAGGAATGCTTTTTCAACTCCATAGCCTGCCACATTTCGAGACCCTTATTATTTATAAAATATCTCGTCTTTATCCTTTGAACCGCAAACTTATATTCTCTAAATAAAAATCTGAACGACGAAATATCTAAAAAACGCATTGAATCGTATCGCTCTCTCAGTTTATCGATCTGTGTAAACAACGAGTTTCGATTTTGGGTCCCGTGGTAAAGTTCACCTATTCAAGATAGGCGTTCAGCATGTTAAAAATGTTTTTTTTTTTTATTAAAAAATTAATATAAATTTCTTTATTACGTAAATATTAAAATTAATAATATAATTTTCTTATATGCCTGGGTTAATACATGTCTTTAAATATTTTTTATAAAAACATATAAAAATCAAATTCAATAGAAATAATTTGATCTTTATGAATCAAATATATTTTATGAAGAAGCAAAATAAAAATGTAACCGTCATTTATTTGTTTTTGAATGAAGTTCGTCAGCTGCTTCTAACGTATTCTACAGTGTTTATTTCTTTTTCTCTGATGTATCTTGTAATCATTTTTTTGTTGTAAAATATTGCAGACAATACACTTATTATATTTTATATATTTCCTAATTAATAATTATAATATTTGCGAAATAAAGAATTTAATATGAATTTTTCAATAAAATAGAAACATTTTTAACCCATTCAATACGTCAAAAAATCAGTCCGAGTGCGTCCCATTACAAAGATCAGTTTATTTCTTCTTCAAGCGATTGTTAAATAAAATAACTTTTATGCCTAAAAGATTGAAGGATTGTTCAGTCCAGCAGTATTTTCCATATGTTTTTTTTAACGTCTTTATTTCATCATTCCTAAAATGTTTGTTAGACAGCGTAGAAATGTAGATGAAAGAGAGAAATCGAAAACCATCCTAAAAAATAAATTTTTATACCTGATTTTCACAAAAGGGATATTTTATATTTACTTAGTTTACGACGAATTATATTTCCCTCAATAAAAACATCCTACAATTTTTATGTCTATCTATGACTGTCGCATTCATCATTCGATTTTTATTGCTTGAATTTGGGAAAATGTTGTTTTCATCAGCTATTCCACCCAAAGATCATACCGGTGATCTTTGTTATTTTAATTATTTTTATTATAATATTTGCATATTTAGGAAATTTTTACTCATTTTTTAATAGAATAGAAACATTTTTAAATAGAAGAAACTGGACACGTGACAAGAACAAATCTTATTTGCTATTATATTTCAAATAAAAATACAATAATATAACTTATTGAAGAGGGATATAGAAAAAAAAATTAAAAAATGTTAAATAAAAAAATTATAAATTAAAACAACGAAAATGAAAAATAGATTTTAAAATCATCGTAATTTAAAACTCGATGAAACGAAAAAAATACGACGAAAATTGTTCTGATATTTTTCAAGCATCTAAAGGTATTTAGTTGCATCAAAAAAAAAAAAAAATACTCTTGTATGCGTTGACCCATGATAAAGATACCTCAAATTCACAGAAAGACTATCATCTACCTGAATTACAAAACAGGATATATTATATTTACTTAGGTTAGGACGGCTTATCTTTCCGTCGATAAATATTCTACAATTTCTTTTTCTATCTATGGCCATCGCATTCGGCATTCTATCCTAATTGATACAATTTGAAAGTGATAGTTTTTGTTAGCTACCCCCATCTCAAGGTCATACCGGAGTCCTTTCATATATATGGTAACAATATTATAATAAATAAATCCTACAATTATCTTACTCTTGCTACTGTGCATTCGTCTTATTCTCTCGAAATTTATTTTTTTGAAGGTTTTACTTCTAACACGTGTGATCTGCACAAATAATTTTTTTGAAGTGAAAACTTCTTTAGAATGGGAGTGATCTGAAAAGTAAAGAAACGGAAACGGAGCTATGTAACGAAGCTATGAAACGGCTGCTATACTAAATAACGAGAGAAAGAGAGACAAACATATAGGATTAAGCCTGTGAGAGAGAGACGGAATATGGCTATACAGTGTTTCCTATTCTCGGTCTCCTCTTTATGCTATGCTTCGTAGTTATCGCTCTTAGTTTTATATGTGTGTGTTTGTGCGCGACTGCATACTACAAAGCGTGGACACGTATTCTTTCGATACTCGAAATGTTTGTAGGTACGAACGATAGAAAGGTAAAAGAATAAACAGAGATAAGCACGTAGGTATGCACAAAAGTATAAAGTCCTAACCAACCGACGGTCGAAATAAATAAAGAAGGTGCGTGGTCTGTTTTTATTTTACCAAACGTGGTATTTCTTTTCTATTTAAAAATGTTTCTATTTTATTGAAAAATTAATATTAAATTATTTATTTCGCAAATATGATAATTACCAATTATGAAATGTATAAAGTATAATAATTGTATTGTCTGCAATATTTTACAAAAAAATGAAATGATGATCAGATACATCAGAGAACAAAAATTAAACAACATTGTAGAATATTTTTCTTATAAGTTTTCACCGCAAAAAAAAAGAAAGAAAAAGATGAAAAACCAAACCCCACTAATTGTGAATTAATGAGTTATTTTCGTAAACAAATTAATGGGTCATGTTGGAATGTGTAACTCAGATTTAAGAACGAAAACTAATCTTTTTGGTTCTCTTCATTCTTTTCTAGAAAACCATAGTTTATTGTAACACTTGCATGCTGTGGAGATCGGCTGACGTCATAGATGTCACCGATATAAAGAGTGAGTCGTAAGCTTAATATGTGTGCACCTTTGTTCCTTTTTTCAGTTTATTTGAAATAGCCCTTCGATAAAGACGTGCCATTCCTTGTGCACTTAAATATTGAAGTTTTCTGGTTTAAAATTATATTTCGTGTTATTTTTCATTTATAAGAACCCAATAATCCTACAGGTCAATTGTTGTATGTGTAGTAGTTGTATAATTTGTATATCACAATTATATATATATATATTTTTATTCAATAATTATCTTTGAATTAAACAATATATTCTCTTATTATTATTATTTTTTTAATACGTGAATATATACAATACATACAAGTAAGATTAAAAAGATTCTGGATTATTTACATCCATCATACTCGCCATTAAGTAACATCAAAGAACAGTAATCTCTCAAATTGTAACATCATCTCATGGTAAAAATAGTAAGTAGATCATTTAATTATCATTCAACGAGATTGTCTTCTATATATTCCTTTTTTTATAATTTTTTATATATAATACTATGAAAATGAATGCAAATGATAGATAGCAGTTTTTTTAGAAATAGAACATTACATATAAAATAAATAAATAATATTACTTAGTTAATACAAAGCATTAATTATTATACATTTCATAAATGTTACCTTTAATAAATAAAATAAATTAATCACAAAATTATATGATAATTCTGTGTTAGCATAAAATGATTTTGTTTTTCTTATATATGTCCACACATTAATTCAATTTCAATGATGTTTTTGCAGTTATATTTCGTGTACTTTTAATGAGTTTATATATTTGATTGTAAAAGTTATTAAGCTACTTGTAGGAACAATTAATAACATAACATGCAACATATTTTACATTTAGAATGATTTCATATCGAGATGAGAAAGTTATGTTGAAACAACATTTAGTCTTATATATCGATCTGATATAATAATGTACCTTAGACCTCTGTCAACATCCTAAAGTAACAATAAATATAATGTTTTTTGGATCATCGATGTATCGAATAAATTTTCTTTGCAGAATTATACTGCATTACTATGATCAATGATGATATGATGACACATTTAAAGGAATATTTGATAATGAACGTGTTGTAATATTCCATTGATATTTCAAAAAATCAATGTCATACTTTTACTAATTCTGATTATTATGACAGATAACAATGATGACTTTAAATATTGACCATTTTCTTCAACTTGAATAATTTGATTTTTAATGCGTCGTTAAAGATTCAGCGGAGAGCGTGACCGAAGTTGTGTGACGAAATCTTTGTGAAATATGTCCAGGAGTAGATGGTACTTCCTCGATTCTTTCTAAATCATTAGCTGCTCCTGCACTATTTTGTTTAAAAAGTCGTTGAACTGTTCTCTGATTTGTTGATTCTTGAATTGCTATTGATACAGGCTCATCTCCTCTATCTAAACTAAATTGCCTTTTCAGAAACCGACCACTAGAACTTCTGTCTGAAATTATTCATATTTTAAATAATTAGTTTCATTAAAATATCAGTTGAGTTTATGTATATTAAAAGAAAATGCAAGAACAGAGTTATATTCACTCACAATTGTAATACACATGCGAGTTCATAAGTTGTAAATCAAATGTGTATCATAAATGAATTATATAATTATATTTGTTTTTCTCCTTCTATAATAAATAATAAACATGTAATATACTTACTATGTTCATTAGGAGAAAGACATCTGTAACGATTATATGGTGTACTGAGATCGTTTTCATCAATACCACCAATGAACCTTCGATGTTTACTTGCTGCAGCTGATCTAAAAGATAAAGCAACAGAACTAGCAATCGAGGTCAAAGATGTAGTTGATGCACCTAACATCGTAGCAGTTGTTTCTGTATCAGATACTGCTAGTATATTACTTGAAATTTGTGTATCACTTGATGTACTTTTCTTAATACTTAGATTGCTAATTTCAGTCGGTTTTTGATTTATACGTTCATTTTTTAATAATTCAAATAGATCTTCCGTTGATTTTAATGAATTACTCGTTTCAAGTGTTTTATCACCATGCACAGATACATTAACTTTTTTCGTTTCTGATGTTTCAAATGAAGAAGCGTTCGAAGAATTTCCTTCAATGATGATTTTTGCACTACTATCATCTTTTCCTTTTTCATTGATACTATCTTCATCATCTTCTTCATCGTGAACGCTATAATTTTTAATATTAGATAATATCGTACGCCGTGCAGTTGTTGATTCCGCTTGTCCATCTTTCAATGTGCTCTTCACTACCAGGCTCTCATCCAATCTTTTGAAATATGGATTAATATAATGCTTTTATTCTTAATACTTATAAAAAATATGTTTCTAAAATTACTAATACATTTGAACGATCTAACCAAGAAGAAAGACAAGTTAATAAGACACCAATTTTTTCAAAATTCTACTCAGTTGTAGGGATCCATCAGAACTGTGATGATACACATTTTCCATTGTGTAGAATATAAAAAAAAATTGGTATTCTCTGTCAACTTGTCTCTCCCCTTGTAAGATCTAAAAGAAATATAATGCACAATTAACTTACCCATGATCCTCTCTTTTGATAGCATGGAAGTAGATAAATTATCAGAAGACTGGAAAGTAAGTTATTTCAAGAAAAAGGAAAATTAGATAAACAGTTGGTAAAAAAACCTGTTAGAATTATATACACATTTATGATCTATTTTTATGATCATTTATTTATATTATAAAAAAAAGAAATATGAAATTACCCGAAAGGTGGAGGTGTTGGCAGTTTCTTATCAAACCCTTCTTTTCCCAATAGCCAATAAGTTTGCATTTTTCCTTTCCCTTTAACTTCTGTAGTACCACGATATTCAATATTATATCCACCGGCTTGAGTTAATCGATCTTTTGTTGCTTTACTAATGTGTATACGCCATGGTGCACCAGTTGATTCCATTCTAGATGCAGTATTTACAGTGTCACCGAATAAACAATAACGTGGCATCGTTAAACCGACAACTCCAGCGCAACAAGGGCCTGTATAAAAATAAAACATGAAATAAGTATTAAAAATTAAACCAAACTGCAATAATTCATTTATTTTATGCTGTACTTAACCGGTATGAAGACCAATTCTTAGTTTTAATTGCATTTGTGGTAAATGTCTTATTTTAAACCTTCCACTTTGATGTAACAAATCAAGCGCCATGGTGGCCACTTGAGTAGCATGATCAGGAATTCTAACTGGACATCCTCCAACTACCATATAAGCATCTCCTATGGTTTCCACCTGAAATAATAATCATTTTAAAAAATCAATTATATAATATTGAATCTAGTATGATTTTACTTTACCCACTTACTTTATAAACAGCATATGCATTGATGGTTGCATCAAAACAGGTGTACAGATCGTTGAGTAAATCTACTACTTGAAATGGTGTCGAATGAGCGGAAATGGTTGTAAAACCTACAATGTCCGAAAAGTAAATGGTAACTTCACGAAATTCTTCAGGATCAACGGGAATACCCAATTTCAATTTTTCCGCTACCGAACTAAAAACAAATCATCAGTCTCTTAATCTTTAAAAATGTTTAATTAGAAACTTTGATAAACTCACTTTGGTAACATTCGATTTAATAATTGTTCCGTTTTTTTTTTCTCCATGTCGAGTTGTTCTGTACGTTCGCGTATCAATTCTTCCAAATTATTTGAATACTTTTCTAACAATTGGAACATAGTATCGATGAAATTAACTTTCCTGTAAAAAAAAAAAAGAAACAAAAAACATTATAATTGATTTTAAATAAAAAAAGTTATTTTATATTGATCTGACCTGCCGTAATTTAGTTTTTTGAATAAATCATGGACACAATTAAAATCAGGCCTCATATCCGGAGATTCGGCCCAACATTGGCGCATTATGTTGATAGCTTCAGGTGGTGCTGCACCTTTACTAACTGATGGCCTAATCAATGGTGGTGGTTTCATCACTTTTTCTATTATATCTGTAAATAATTATAATAAATAAATATATTTCATATTATAATCTTAAAAAAATATTTAAAATAATTATTCATTGTGTTTTTACCTTCTGGTGATAAAGCTAACATACAAAATGGTTCTCCGCGTACAATGACCTCTTGCATGATGATACCAAAACTATAAACATCCCCTGGTTGGGTACCCTTTTTTCGAAGATTCACATCCCTAAGTAATTCTGGTGCTGTCCACAAAAGATCTGCCAATGACAAATACGAATGAATATTAATTAAATTGAATATAATACAAATATTACAAAATAATAATAAATCTTTAATTACCACGAGATAATTTTGAAGGTGGTGACATATTTTGAGCTTCGTAAAATGCTGGAAGGCCATAATCAGTAATCTTAAGAACCCAACGTGCATCGATTACGCAGTTCCGTGATGTAAGGTAACCGTGAACCCTAATCGGTGTACCATGAAGATATCTCATACCCTTAAATAAATTTAATGCTACATTTAATCTTTACTTAAGTTCATCCGGTGATATTAACATAAAAATAAAGTGATCTTTATTTTTATTCGATCCCTTACAATTATTTTCAACACGTTGATGCATTTTTAATAATCCTATGACATGAATTGTTTTTTAAAACAAAGAAAATTGAGAGACTTTGTTTTATTGTTAAAGATAAATCGATATTCTATTTAAAAATAATTTTTTAAACAAATGTTAAACTTACTCGTACTAAATCCGTAAGCAAAGACAATCTGAATGACCAATCGAGTTTGATCTCATCTTGGACCAATACATCTTCCAGTGAACCTCTTGAACAATATTCCGATACAAGACATGGTCTAGAAGGTTCATTCAAGCATCCAATAAGGGGATTAAGATTTTCGTGTCGTAGGCCATGGATCTATCCATAAAAGTGTTAACAACAATTTATTTATAACCTTTTTTAGAATATCTTATTCTATTTTTGATAGAATAGACTGTTTTTTACCGTAACTAAAACGCCCATCGTTTTATTCTTCAATTCGAATGTACTTTGACAGGTTAATTCCTTCAGTTGAACCAAATCACCCTAAATAAATTGAAAATGTAATCAAAATTATGTATAAATAAATTGTATTTGTTTTTTTTTTCATTCGATGATAAGCGGATTGTATTCACGCAATTTAAGAAAATAAATCCAGTTTATAATTAATATCAAATGTTTACAAGTATTATTATAATTTATAATAAACACTTGATCTCTCGTAAAACGGAGTTGTTCATAAGTTGCGTGAATTAATATAGCGAACACTATCTTCATGTAAGCGTATGACATGACGCGTATGAAGACAGAGACGTATTTACATTATACATAGCACGTCGGACCTTGAAGAAAGTTTGTCTCGCTAAATTTCCGGTACTTGTTTGAAGATAGGGCCTGTGGGAACCAACAGTGCCTACTTGAAGTAAATCAGGTTTCTCAACTTTTGGCCCACCAAATTCTTGTAACGGCTGCAACCAGCAGCATAGCATTGTTTCGACTCCCTTATCGACCTAAAAGTATGGAATAAAATAATTTATTTTCACTCAGTTAGTCCGATGATAAAGACCACTGTGAATTGTTTCAACTTGGTCGAACTTTTGACCTAGTTTTCCAAATTAACCGCACTATTACATAATAGTTTCGCATTATAATACTAACAGTTTTTGAATCCGTATGATTAGTCTGTGGGAAGACGAAATCCGATGCCGTTAGAATAATTTTATAGGGTCCTTCTGATATTCTATTTTTCAGTAATTGTTTTCTACACAAGAAATAAAAAAATGATATCGTTAGATCATACATATAATTAATTAAGTAATAATAATGTTTTTGTGTATAATTTATATTAAGTTATTGTTTATAACTTAGTTATATATACTTACTTAATATAGTTATATTAAGTTAAGTATAGTATAGTATATATATGTTATATATTATATACCGAATATATAATATAATATAATATAATATAATATAATATAATATAATATAATATAATATAATATAATATAATATAATATAATATAATATAATATAATATA